GCAGGCAGAACACAATCTGCCCTCATAGCACAGGGTAAATCAGAAGGTGAGGATCCCACAGACAGTATGGATGTGAGAACGAGATGCTTTCTACTACTAGGAGGGCACCAGGGACAAGGCACAAAAGTACCATGGAGATCCAGCCATGCCCTCCTCCTCCTCACCACATGCAGCTCACTCACTTTGAAACATCCTTCCCAGACCTATATGCAGTTGTCTTACCTGGGGACCTAGGGGACTCAGCACCTCTCTGGTGAAGCAGACCCGTCAAGGAGCTTCCCTCTGCATTGCTGCTGTGCCTTCTGTCCCTGTCACCCTCTAGTCTGGGGCAGCTGAATACACAGATTCCAGCCTTATGCACAAGGCTCCACTGACTCCCCAACCTCCTATTTCCAGCACCCACAGCGCCCTAGGCTGAATCACTTCCAGTTTCCCCAGTGGATGTGCAGGTGCAACCTCCAGGACTCAACTGAAAAATGCCTTGTAATTTCCCACTGCCCACCCCTATTCTTCAATGCTGTCAGGAACTTTTCTCAGTTATATGTGCCGCAAATGCAGTTTCCAGCCCTTCCTTCCAACCTGTTTGCCACTCTAGATTCAATTTATATATTATAAAGCCAGCTGTTACATTGACTCATCATTGCCTGTTGATTTATATGTCTTGATGGCTTCGACCAATTTGCTTTGCTCACCACCGTATCTCCAAGCACCCATACCCTGACTGATACCTGGTAGACACTCTTGTTGATTAGTTGGCATTTACAGTGGATAGGGTCCCTCGACAAAGAAATGGGCAGCATTTCCAAGGCCAAGGCTTCAGAGCCTTGAGGCTTCAGAGCCACCAGTCAGGAACCTTCTCTGTGAACATTCATGTACATACACTTGGTCAAATTGCCATAGGAACCCAGACACTCAAATGTTAGGGAACCTGTGGGACCACCATAAGGGTTCCCAGGAAGGGAACACTCCAATGCCGATAGCTGGATATGAAGCTGATGACTCTTGACAATTCTATGGCTCCATCAACGTCACGTTTTGCCACCACCTGTAAAGACACTGGCCTTTGTTGACACAATAACAGAAAAAGCCCTTAAACAGTCAGTGCATTCATGAAACCACTGGAGTGATCAATCCTGAAGTCTTTTATTATTTAAGCAATGAACACATGTATATTGATCCTAAATGAAATACTGATTAGAGCTTCTGGGAGCTGCATCAGAGAGCATAAGCCCCAGCCTCCAGGACCAGGGAATCTGTATCATCAGTGCTAAAATCACTGCTAGTGATTTCAGAACAAGGGAGGGCTGCCCCCTCGTTCCCCGCAGCTGGATAAATGCACCAGATCTACACACATGTCACCTTGCCATCAACTCCAATCAAGAAGGCAAACCTGACTTATTCTGAAGGGGAGGACACTAATTCTGTTTGCAGTATTCTTTTCTGTTTACTTCTATCATGCCAAATGATTAACAGTGGCACTGCTGCCATGTCCCCAGAGGCTCACAGATACACTACACAACCATTGCTCACAGAGCTGGGGTTCACAAGCTGCAATCTGATTGGCTAGAAACAGATCTGTTCTTGTACTCTAACCAATCAGGAGAAACGTCTCTCTCCATTCATTAAACACTAAATCATAAGATGAGCCTGATGGTTTAAAGATCCATGCTCAGTGAACAGAGGAACTGCAAACAGAAGAGGCAGACCAACTGAGACAGAAAATAAATCCTAAGCCCTGCTTTGTTCTAGCACATGTATCTTGTTCATGCATTAGGTTTTCGTGGCGGGAAAAAGAAAAATCCAAACGTAAGTGTCATTCAGCACAAGCAGGAAACAGTTTGTTGTGGGAAGCCACAACAAATGAAATTTTACCTCTGCAGATCCACCCATGGTGGGCTTCCTGGGCTGAACTGAAAGGATCTACACTGCATCTTAACAGCAATTCCCTCTCTCTGCTTCACAAGGAAACTCTCCCACTTACTTCCTCTCCCTCTTAAGGGCTGTGCTGAACTTGAAGATAACCACCGAGGGAAAGCCAGCAAGAGAAAAGTTGAAATGGGAGATTCAGAAAGCAGGATCCTGGTCAGGCTTAACATCTGCAAGTCACTCAGTATTTGCTGAATAGAGGAAGAGTTCCTAATGAGAATAAAAGAACAGACAGGCAGTGTAGCCTGTAATCCCAACTACTTGGGAGGCAGAGGTAGGAGGATTGTGGTCCAAGGCCAGGCCAGCAAAAGCAGGAGATCCTGTCTGAGAAAAAAAAAAAAAGAAGAAAGCAAAAAGGACTGGGGGCTTGCCTCAAGTGGTAGAGCCAAGTTTAAACCCCAGTACCACCAAAAAAAGAAAAGAGAAAGAAGCAAAGTGAGAGAAAGAGAGAGGAAAGGACACCTTATCACATCTGTCTCCTGCTCAGAACTCTTCAGCAGCTCCTTGGTGCTCTTAAGTGTGGTCCTGATCAGGATCCTCTGTGGTTTGGCCCATTTGTCCCTTAGCCTTACCTGACCCTAGGATTCTGCCATCCTGAGCCTCTGGCAGTTCCCCACAGGCTCTCTATTATTGTCTCCTAAGATCTGTGGCTCCCCAGACCTCAAATACTTGTTCCTACTGTCCTCCTTTCCATGCCAAATAAGTGCTCAGTCCCTGCTAGGTTACTGTTCCTCCTGGAGGCTCCTATGGCCTCCTGCACTGACCTTCTTTCTAACAGCCACATGCCTGTCTTCTCTTCCTAAGGTCAGTTCTCCAGGGCAGGCCCTGGGCATTTCTTGATCATGGCTATGGACTCACCGCCTGAACTAGAGCAGATGCTCAGGAAATATTTGTTGAAAGATTGCAAGACACCAGTCAGGCAGGACTGATCGCAGCAAACAAGCCATACAAGTCTTTGCAATAAAGAGCTGACCCATTCAGGCTCCCTCGGAAGAGCTGAGGCAGGGCCCCAGTGACCCTCTAAACCTACAGAATTAGGGAGGAACTCACAGGACAGGTATGGGCCCCACATACTTCTACCTCTCCCCAGTTCATGTTCCAAAAATGGGGCCCATAACTAATCCTTAAGGACACTTGAATAACCAGAGGCTGCTGCAATTTTGCTGAATGCCATATAGGGACTCTTGCTGGGTTGTTCAGTATATGCTTTTATTTAAATAAATTTAAGTGACTTGGCGTAGAATTAGCTCTGAAGGTATTTAGAGGCAGGTCCCAAAATACACGTACCCCAAGCCTGTCAATGGGGGAAGGAATGAAGAGGGATCACCAGAAGTTACACTGTTTCCAGGACCAGAGAAAATGGCAGGCCCAGCTGCACTACTTCCTGACCCTGGCCCATTTGGTAAAAAAGCAGGCCAGTGGCTCCATTGTGTATGAATTTTTAAAGTTTAGTAAAATGTGAGCTCTCCCTGCCTCATCTGAAATTGGGCCCTGCTCTAAATAATTTTGATTACACTGCCCACCCCCCCTCACGCTTTACCTAGGGGTCAGTATTAACAGTAGTAACGAATCAAAACCAAAGAACACACTGGAGAGGTGTCCCTCTCTCCTTACAAAACTACAAGGGGGAGGAGAATTTGATGTCAGAGTTTTGTTATTTTTAAGAAAAATTAAGTTGGAAAACAGATTCATTCTCATGACAGTCTGTGCAAAGCTGTTGCTAATGCCCAACTTTGGTCAACTTGGTACAAAACATATTAATTCCAGCTTGGGAGTGTAAGGTATCCATTTCAGACTTAATGACACCTGACAGCAGAGCAGGACCCTAAAGTAACCTCCAGTAGGTGGCAGGTAGGTTAGACAGATTCTACCTAATTTGCAACTTAAGTCTCTGACTCAAACCTAAAGCTGTTCAAAACCTGCCTGGAGAGGGGAGCTTCTGAACAAAGCACTTCCTCCCCTTTAACCGAAAAACCTCAAACCACAAAGGTGCTAGAAAAGAGGGAAGCTAGCGGGGTGCCCTTCTAATTGTCTATTCTTCTGCGCTGTTTATTGGATCATTAAAATCTTACAAGGACTTCATGGTAATTGAACTGAAGGTCTCTCTCGGCTTGTTTCTACAGAAGTCACTCACTTTCAAACTCAGAAACATTTCCCCTAAAATTTTGTCTAAAAGAACCTTTCAAGCAATCTCTTGAGCAGCAATATGAATGATCAGTGGTCCCTGCAGGAATGGGGATGGGGCGCACCATCTAGCACACCTGTTGTCAGGTGACACAACCAGCAGCATCCTGCGCTCTCCATCTCCACCCCAACCCACCCCACCCTCAGCAAGTCCCTTCCCGGCTGGCCTCCTCCACGCCAGGAGCCTACAGCCTTCCCGAGTCACCTTTTAAAAATACACCTCCCCACCACAAAGCAAACAAAAGGCGAGGAGAGTCGCGGGGATTCTCGTGGCCACTCTCCCGCGCACCCCTAGCCGGCCCCGACCCCCAGCCCCAGCCTTGGCTTGGGGCCCGCGGGTAGCCCCCCAACCCCCCGCCGTAGCCTGCCCATAGAGTCCGAGCAGCCGGCTCCACCAGGGCCCCCTGGGGGTTCGGGCCTGACTTATTGTGGCGGACGGGCGGGCGCCAGACCAAGTACAACTCCGCACACGATGGCTCCGGACGCCCGGGCCCAAGCTGACCCGCCAGCGCCCCCGGGCCTCCCGCGTCCTCGGGCCCAGCCCCGGCAGGGTGGCCGGGGAGGGGCCAGGATGGTCTCCTTCCCACAAAAGCTCTCGGACGCAGGCAGCGGGTGCGTTTCGGAGAGAAGTTCGTTTCCGGGTTTGCTTTTTGAACAAAACCAATGGAACTCCCGCGCGGCCCGGGCTGGCAGGGCCTGCACGGGCGTCTGGCGAAGCGAGGCCGGGCGTGGGCCGCTCGGCGTCCAGCGGCCCGAGCTCAGCCGAGCACCGCCCCGGTGCGCCATGGCCAGCCACTCCCGGGCACGGCGGCGGGAAGGCGCGCGGCGACCGGCCCCGAGCGAGCGGCGGGGACCCGGCTCGCGGGGGACGAGGCCCGCGCGGCACTTACGCGGCGGCTCGGCGGCGGCGGCGGCGGCAGCAGCAGCAAGGTGTCCGGCCTGAGCCCTCTCGGCCGCTCGCGCCCTTTCTCTCCGCGCTCCTGCTGGCCCGCCGGCCCGCCCGCCCGCCTTCTCGCTTCCCGCCCGCGCGCCCCGCGCTCGCCCCCTCCGCCCGGCTCCGCTGCCGAGTGAACTGGAACCAGTCGCCGCGGCCCCGGGATTCCCACAATGCACAGCGCCCCGCTCGTCACATCCCATCCCGTCCCCGCGCGTCCGGCCACCCCTCCCTGCGCCACCGGGCGCCCCGGCCTTGACCCGGCCCCTGGACGTCAGCAGTCCTCCCCGTCCCCCGCTGCACCCAGGCCCTGGTGCCTGGCCCTCTGCCATGGCATCCGTCTACACGTGGGTACGTGAGGTCGTGGGGCGCCCTGGACTGCGTCCTTGCAAAGGGTCAGCCCCCCTCCCTCCCCCGGCCGGGAGAGGCGGTTCTCCAGGGAACATCCCAGCCTGTGTTTCCAGTGAGCACTTACGGCGGGCCTGGCCGTGAACTCGGGTCTTTCGCTGCCGGGTCCCTACCTAATAACCTCATCAGCACAGGGAGGGGGCGGGGGCGCAATTGCTGCGTCCAGCGATCACTTTCAACCCCCCAGTCAGAGCAAACTTCCCGCGCTGTCTTCAGACACACACCATCCTCAAGCCCTTGTCTACCCCAAAACCAACTACTGCATCCCCCTCCCCAGCGCCTTGCGTGGCCGGGGGAGGGGGGCGGTTTCTTCACAGTCAAATCCGCACGCCCCAAAGTCTGATCTTGCTTTGCGCGTGGAAGCACTTTGCAACTTCAATTCGGCGAACGTTTGTTGGCTACTGGCCCCAAGTTGGAATTTATGAATATAAGCAGTGAATCTTTATCACTCGTAAAAAAACAAAAACAAAAACAAAACAACAACAACAAAAAACCAGGGCAATCAAAGGGCCATGTCAAAGCCCCTCTACCTGTTCCTAAATTGATTTTTCTCCTGAAGGCATTAGTGCCCCATCCCGGGTGTTTCAATAGGGACCTTCCCTGTTTTCCTCTGCCTCCCTAGTGTGGAGACCAAAGGCATCTCTCCACGCAGCTGTGAAGTTATTTTGGATAATAATACACATTCCTGGGGGCGGCTGTGAAGTTTAATGGACCACTGCCTGGGGATATTATAGAGGTAACTGAAGACATCCCCAGTCCCCAGGCTGCACTGGAATAGGGTCCTAGTCACTTGTTCCCTCTACCTTGATGCTCTTTGCATTGTACTTGAGAAGTCTACAAAGCACTGTCCAACACATGCCATTCATGTATTCGTTATTTCAATTAAACACTGAGAACATAGTTTGTGCCATGTATCAATTTGGGTGCTGGAAATGAAACAGTGAACAGAAGAGGCAAAAATTTCTGTCCTCCTGGAGTTTGCAGTTTATTGGGGGGGGGGAGGGAAGAAACAAAGGATATGGTGTAAATGCTGTGGAAAAAATAAGGCAGGGAAGGGTCATAGGATGTGTGAGATTTCAAGTTTAAGAGAAGGTCTCCCTGAGAAGGAAACATTTGACCAGAGACCTGAAGGAGTTGAAGAAGCAAGTCATGTGGTAATCTGGAGAAGGAGTGTTCCAAGTGTGAGGTCCAGAACGTGCAAAGGCAGGAGCCTGTCCAAAATCAAGGCACAGAGTGTGAGGTTAGAGTGGAATAAATAAAGGGGAAATGTATTAGTCAGACTTTCTGTCACTGTGACAAATGCCTGAGAGAAACAACTCAGGGGAGGAAGGATTTGTTTTTGGCTAAAAACAAAGGATTTTTCTGAAAAAAAGGTTTCAGAAATTTCAGTGGATAGTCTTAGGCTCTGTTGATTCTGTGCCTGTAGGCAGAGGCTACTTACCTCATTGTTGACAGCGAGAGAGAGCCAGAGAGCGAGAGCGAGAGCGAGAGCGAGAGCGAGAGAGAGAGAGAGAGAGAGAGAGAGAGAGAGAGAGAGAGAATATGAGGGAATGGGAATGAGGCCTTGGACAAGGTACAGCCCCCAATGACCTGCTTTCTCTAGCTAGTCCCGCCTCCTAAAGTACCCAGAACCTCCTTTGGGGACCAAGCCTTCAACAGTGAGTCCATGAGGGACATTTTATATTCAAACAATTACATTTTCTTCCTGGACCCTAAGGTTCATGTCCATTTCACAATGCAAAACACATTCAGTCCATCTCCAAGAGTCCCCATAGTCTTCCCCCACCTCCTAGTCCTGGGGATGGAACCCAGGGCCTTGGGCATGCTAAGCAAGTACTCTACTACTTGAGCTATGCCCCCAGCCCCATTTCTGGGGAGGGGACAGAGTCTTGCTAACTTTGCTCAGGCTGGAATCAAATTTGAGATCCTCCTACTTCCACTTCCCAAGTGGCTGTAATTATAAGTACATGCTGTTATGCCCAACTCCCATAATCTTAATAGCTCCAATATTATTTTGAAGTTCAAATGCAGAACTCTTGCGTCTTAGGCAAACTCTTAACTGTAAGCCCATATACAATTTTTTCCCTTTTCTTTTATTATTCATATGTGCATACAAGGCTTGGTTCATTTCTCCCCCCTGTCCCCACCCCCTCCCTTACCACCCTCTTCCCCCCCCAATACCCAGCAGAAACTATTTTGCCCTTATTTCTAATTTTGTTGTAGAGAGAGTATAAGCAATAACAGGAAGGGACAAGGGTTTTTGCTGGTTGAGATAAGGATAGCTATACAGGGCATTGACTCACATTGATTTCCTGTGCGTGGGTGTTACCTTCTAGGTTAATTCTTCTTGATCTAACCTTTTCTCTAGTACCTGTTCCCCTTTTCCTATTGGCCTCAGTTGCTTTTAAGGTATCTGCTTTAATTTCTCTGCGTTAAGGGCAACAAATGCTAGCTAGTTTTTTAGGTGTCTTACCTATCCTCACCCCTTCCTTGTGTGCTTTCGCTTTTATCATGTGCTCATAGTCCAATCCCCTTGTTGTGCTTGCCCTTGATCTAATGTCCACATATGAGGGAGAACATACGATTTTTGGTCTTTTGGGCCAGGCTAACCTCACTCAGAATGATGTTCTCCAATTCCATCCATTTACCAGTGAATGATAACATTTCGTTCTTCTTCAAGGCTGCATAAAATTCCATTGTGTATAGATACCACATTTTCTTAATCCATTCGTCAGTGGTAGGGCATCTTGGCTGTTTCCATAACTTGGCTATTGTGAATAGTCTTAGGCAAACTCTTAACTGTAAGCCCATATACAATTTTAAAAGCAAGTTACATACTTCCAACATACAATGGTAAAGAGTAAGTAAATATTCCCATTCCAAAAAGGTTAAAGAGGAGGAATAGAACCAAAGCAAGACTGAAGCCCAGCAGGGCAAACATTAAATCCTGTAGCTCCATGTCCACTGCCAGGGTACATGGTGGTATAATGTAAGCTCAAGGGGCTGGCCTTACCCTTTCAGCTGTGCTCATTGCCTGTGACTTTTCTTGGCAAAAGTTCTACACTCCTGACATCTCCAGCATCCCAGGAGCTCCATTGCAGCTTAGGGTTCACCGACAACTATACACATTGCCCTCTTAGAGACTGTCTGCATGGACTCTGACCCTGTTAAGCACTGCCTGGCCTCTCAGACTTTCCCTTGAAATCTGATAGATGCTTCCATGACCCCAAAACTCTTGCATTCTGCATGCATGCAAAGCCAGCATCACACGGACAATTCCAAGGACTGCTGCTAGCTAAAGCAGTAGATAGGTCCCTTTGGATCACAGCCTCACTGGCTTCTGAGTTCCAAGGCAGCTGAGCATAGTAAAATGAATCCTGGGAAAACAACTTCTTAGGTAGCCCTGTGCCAGCAAGGTGCTCAGAGGTGCTCTCTTCTCAAGGGAGTCTTTCAAATGAATCTTATTCTTTCAAACCTTGATCCTGCAATGGATGAGGTCTGGCAAATTCTTGAGATGCTCTCAGGGCATCTTTCCTATTGCAAAGTACATGACTTCCCTTTGATAGTCTTAGTCTCTTCAGACGCCATGCATTCCTCAGTCCCAACTTTGCACTGGCTTTTCTGAGCAAACTACAAAATTTTCAGATCTTTCTACCCTGCTTTTTGTTCCTGATTCTCATTAGAAACTGGCTAACAGCAGCCAGTAATACTGCATATCACAGCCTGAATGTTTGACCACTTTGAAACCTGCTTCACCAGATTAATTAGCCTGTCACCTAATTAAACACAGCCTCCCACAAAGTCTCAGGACACAGACAAAATGTCAACAAGTTCTTTGCCAGAATATAACACAGATGGCCTCTAGTCCAATTCTCAGTGGCATCCTTATATTGTCTGAAACCTCATTAGAACAGTCACTATTGTCCACATTCCTAGTGGCATTCTGATCTTCTGGACTCCCATCAGAACTTTCCATAAAGTTCCACTTACAGCATTCTTGGGGTTTCTCTAACCCACATCTCCAAACTTTTCCAAATTGCTCCCACAAGCCAGTTCCAAAGGCTTCTGAACCACATGGTCAGGTAGTCACAGCAATGAACTTTCTGTGTTAATCAGACTTTCTCATTGCTGTGACAAATACCTGAAAGAAGCAACTTAGAGGAAGAGAGATTTATTTTGCCTCACAGTTTCAAAGGTCCATCAGGGCAGAAAGAATGTGATGGAGCACAGTAATTTAATCATGGCAGCCAGGAAGCAGAGAGACAGAAAGCCTGAGCTTGTTGCTTTCTCCTCCCTCCTTTATTCCATTTGATGCCACCCATAGTCAAGGCAGATCTTCCCTGCCCTTAGAAGTGTACCTTACTAATCTTCCAGGTACTTCTTAATCCAATCAAGTTGACAATCAAGATTAAGCATCCCAGGAAAGAAATAAGATAAAGGCAGACAAATGATGATGCTTCAGTTCCCCAAACAAAGCCTTAAGGATGTGCGAGTATTCCTTAAGGAAGATATATCAGGGAAGGGGTGAAGCCAATCCCACTTGTTGTTCTATCCATTTCTGGGTCCTTGGGCAGGCACCCTCAGTTCTGCAGGGGCCTCCAGGTGAGGTTAGAGGCTATACTTCTTAAGAGTTGATTGTGTGCCCTCCCTATCCTTGTGCC